CACTATCAGAAGCTTAGCATGGAGTCGGGATCAGAACGACAAGATGTTAAGATTGAACCTCGACATGATAGACGAAAGGAGGGACGCAGCGGCTATAAGGCTAGCATCGTATCAGCAAGTGCTGGCGAATAGTCACAATAAGAGAGTAAAACACAGGGATTTTGCCCCGGGCGATCTGGTTCTGAAAAGAAAGGTGGGGATGGTCAAAAAAATGATGCCACCCTGGGAAGGCCCATACAGAATTGCAGAAGTCATTGGCAAAGGGGCATATACGTTGGAAACCATGGCGGGAAAGTTGGTCAGCAAGCCCTGGAACGCCACGTCTCTGAAGAGGTACTACCAATAGAAGCTAAGTTCTGGCTTTAATTGGATGTTATTTGTTGTCAATCAAATACGTATGAATGAGCAAGTTACTGGAATTTACAAAAAAAAAAAGAATTTTCTTTTCCAATGGTCTACTATAAAAATTTAAAGCCAAGTGGCAAGTGGCATTCTAGCCGAGCGCCAGGCACTTAAGCAAGATAAGTGGCAGCTGGCACTATAAGCCGAACGCCAGACACTTGCTAAAAATTTAAAGCCAAGTGGCAAGTGGCATTCTAGCTGAGCGCCAGGCACTTGCCGTACAAACACACAGCGAAGCTAATATAAAAAGAAAAAGAGAGAAAAGATATATATGTACTGAAGATAAGTTGAACAGAGCACATAGAGAAAAAGAGTTCGGCCATTTCATTAATATTGAACATTTAGTTTACAAAAGAGAGATGTCCATCATTACAAGAAGATATGAACTGGAAGAATTCGAAGGAGCCCTAGCTAGACGCCTCAGTACCAACAGCATCCTGGTCTTGCCGATTCGCCTCCTCGGCCCCATCAGCCGCCTCACCTTCATGAGGTGGGGAATCCAGGTGAATAACTGAGTCGTTCGGCTGGGGTTCAGCGTCAGCAGTGGCTACAGAGGGAGCCACGGTTGACGATTGGGGAGCGGTCAGTGGCAGAGCGGTAGGAGGAGCTGTGATGATCCTTGAGGATGCGATGTCCTGGCACTCATCAAATATACGTTCCGCTTCGGTGGGTTCTGGGTCGACATAGACCCCCAGGGGTTCGATCCCCAGATCCTTGTCTACCTCATCCGGAGTGGAGCTGGTCTGTCCCTCATCCGGAACCCGGTCGGCGAAACCTTCCCGGAATCCTTGAGCATACCGAAGAGCTCCGACCCTGGAGAACCGAGCGTGAAGGGCCAGCATCCCACCACCCACTCTGCTGATAGCGTCGATCAGAGCGGTACGCTCGTCCAGAGCTCTTTTTTCAAAAGCCATCCGAGCAGACTGTTCATCAGCTAGAAGGCGTTGGAGTTCTGCCTTCTCTTCTCTGAGTGATTCCTGTTCAGTCTGCCAGACGCTCTTCTCAAGCTGGAGGGCGTCCTTCTCATCCTGAAGGGAATCATTCTCCTTTTTCAGGACATCTCTCTCTTGCTCGGCTTTGTCAAGCCGAACCAGCACCTCGGTATTCTTCATGGCAAGGAGGTCGTTTTCTTTATTAGCCACCTCCAGGCTGTCAGAATACTTTCGGGCCCTGGCGTTCCCCATTTCCACCTGCTTCTGCATGGCCATCATCCCGAACAATGTCTGCATAGGTGCACAATAAGAACGGTTAAACCAATAGTCAGAACGGGCAAAGGCAAGACCAAGTAATATAAGAGAATTCATGAGTTAGAAAATAAAAGTCACCTCCATAGCAGATTGGGGAAAGCGACTGAACACGTCCTTCTGGGAAAGGCCCTTTGCCGCCTCAATGTCCTTCGGAGTCCACATGCTCCTGTAGTAGGCCATAGCGGTCTGGCCATCCTTCAGCATGGTCTCGTTCGGTTTCACGAACGTCCCATCCGTTCGAGTGTACCGAGGGGCCCATGGCGGTAAGCTGGGGATAGAAGGGGGGCCTGAAGCAGAAGCAGAGCCACCAGCTGCAGGAGGCCCAGAGGGAGAAGGAGCTCTGATCGCTCGGTGCAAGAGAGTACCCGGCCCAGAGACTCGGGTCCTTCTAATAAGAGGCTCCTCCTCAGGATCGATCTCACTGTCAGGATGAGGCCTTTTGCCTCGCTCTTTGTCCCGACCGCCCCCCGCAGCAGCAGGAGCTATGGTAGCTGGGGAGGGCGCGTTCTGGTTGGCAGCAGGGGCGCTGGCAACAGGGTTAGTAGCCACTGCGCTCGGGACAGTGTCAGATATGGTGGCTGAAGAAGAAGCCGACGCTGGAGAGGAGGTCGCCCCAGCAGCAGGAATGGCTGGGGGAGTATTTTTCCTCCTGCCAAAAGAGGGAATCTGCAGTCTGCTCATATTGTAGCCGAGTGATGAGAGCGCAAAGAGGTTGTCTGAAGTGAGGAGATCTGAGCAGGAAGGAATATCGTTCAGAACGTATCTCTTCAAGTAGTTACTCCTATCCCTGCAAACACTGTAGCTCAAGTCATCACAAGGAATTCCCAAGGAGCGGCATAAGTAAGTGCAAAAACGAGGAACGCATGTTTCACAGGGGCAGTCATGTTTATGGGATTTGAATTTTTTATAGGAGGAGACAGAGCAGACACCAAAGGCGCTCGGGATTGGGTAATCCTCTGCAGCCGGCGAAGACCAAGCCCCGCTAATACCCACTATGCTATCCCTCCAACCCTTTTCAGATTTTATTGTGTCAGTGCATATGGACATCTTCTCGAACGGGTAGAGGTGGTAGAAGGGCTCGTTGGTACGGATCTTACTGACCTTATAGCACAGAAGGAGGTCTATGAGGTCAAGGTCCAGATTTCTGTCACGCATCAATAATAGCATAACAGATATGATCCTAAAGAAGTTGGGGTTGACCTGCAGAGGGGATATCCCCAATCTGTTGAAGACGTAACTAAAGAAAGGGTGCAGAGGGAACCTAACAACATTCAGTTGAAGGTTCGTGAATAAGACTTCGCCGGGCAGGAGGCCGGCGCCGGTCGTAATATTAACGTCTTGGGGGCAAACCCTAACTTCGATGTTGTCAGGAAGTCTAAGTCTCATACGAAGAACACCCAGATCTACAACCATGGTGGAAGTGCAAGAAGAATCTAAAAGAGGGAAAATGGAAGCCTGCCGAAAGTAAAAAGAACGAAACTAACCTCGGAGGACTGCAAGATCGCTGGGAGAATGACTCTCGAAGGATTTCACCGGAAAAGGCTTAGCACAGTTCTAGAAAGAGGGAGATTTGGCTGATGATGGAGACGGTAAAGGGAAGTGAAGTGGAATTCTAGAGCATTATAAAGGCAAAGGGGCCCGAGGGCCGAAGCGTCGGGAAGGCAAGAAATCCCTCGAACCCCGGAACATTGATTCTGGATCTGACCGTTCGCTCCCCCACGTGGTTATCTCGAGCCGTCAGCGTCATGATGAGACGCCATCAATAATTACCCCTTATTAAATAAGGGGCAATTATGGGGGCAGTTGAGGAGGCCCTGGATGACATGTGCCAGGTCCGACTCGCAAAACACAACCTTCAGTCCGAACAGCTGGGTCAGCCCATAGAAAGACACTGCCATATGGGCCGGGCGGGAGTAAGCCCATCAAGGGTGACCAGGGCTTACAGAGGAATAGGCCCAGGTCCAGCAATTAGTAAATATCTTGTAAATATCTTGTAAGTATCTATAAATAGGAGTTGGAATGAAGGGGAGGGGGATCTTTTTTCGGGTTGAGGTGTAAGAATTCTAGAGAGAGAAAGAATAGAAGGAGTTTCTTGCATCTTCAGTTGCCCTAAAAATCTCAGATATTGTTTACTGATTCTGGTTTCAGGATTTGAGTGTTAGATTTGATTTTCTTCAGCAGATTCGAAATTAGTAATTCTCTCCGCGTTGTAAGATGTCATTTTCAGAGTGCGTAGTATAGTGTGTGTGTGTGTGTAAGGGAGTTAATTGAAGGATCTAACGTTGAATTTATCTATCTGACTGCGACATGTTTGATTTCTTTGATACGCGTCTTTAAGAGTGAATGATCTTATTTTCTTCCGTTTTCTTTAATTCGTTATTTTAATTTGTGTTCAAGATTTTGAGGTTTGAAAATCTGATGATTTCACTGACCATACACGATGATGGTTTCTTGCCCTAACAATCTCAGATATTGTTTACTGATTCTGGTTTCAGAATTTGAGTGTTAGATTCGATATTCAACACTTTCACAGTGTGTGATATATATGTGTGAGAATTTGAGTGTTAGATTCGATATTCAACACTTTCACAGTGTGTTATATGTGTGTATATATAGCGTGAGTGTGAGGGAGTTAATTGAAGGATCTGACTTTGAATTTATGCTGACTGCGGTGTTGGATTTCTTTGAAGTTTCTTGATATCCCTTTGATATGCATCTTGAAGGCCCCAAATGGAACATTCCAGAAGTGTTTATGTTGCATTTGGGAGTACCGAATCGGCGATTCGGTGCTCCCAAACATAGCTTTATGTTCATAATAACTATGCAAACAGTGTAGCTAGAAATCTGCATTTTACGTTGACATGGTTCTTGACCTGATTTTATATCTAGACCTTTGTTTACACTTTACAATGAAGGGGATTACTTTGATTCTTAGTTACAGTATTCTTCGAAAATGGCTCTTACAATACGTGGCATATCTTAATGAAGAATTTATTTTATACCACATTAATGTGTTAGTTCATCTTTAATACGATCTTTTATTAGTTTGGTTAGAATATAGAAGACTAGATGTTCTCTGTTGCTGGTCCTTGATGGAACAGAAACATGATCCATGTAGGCTGTAGCTGGGCCAAAGGAAGAGGAATAACTTTCCTTGAGATATATGTATGTTCTTGCTTTGGTTACCGTTGCCAAGAAACTGACCACCATAAACAATTCAAACATCGTCATAAGACAATTACTCAACAGATTATGATTTTTATTTTTTAAATGTGTTTTCATATCTGTAAAATCTAAATCATTGTCTTTGTATATTTTATTTCTATGACAGGGCAGTGATACCTGATAAGTATGGAGAAGGTAAAAGATCTGATTTAGTTTGTGTTATCTGAAATTGTTCCATTAGTTTTTTCTTCCATATAAATCTTATTATAATGCTTTTGATAGTACGAAAAACTTGAACAAATTGGAAGTGGAGTTTCTTCAATTGTTTACAAGGCGCTGAACCGCGAGACAAATGAAATTGTTTGCTTGAAAGAGATTAAGGATTTGGGCCCCGAATCTGAAGAGATCCCTTGTTTTGTAATCAGAGAATGCTCTTTTCTGAAAGAGATGGAGCATGACAATATTATCAGGTAGCAACTGCCCAATGATTGTGTTGGTTTACAGAATAACAAAATTACAAATTATAATATGAAATTATGAAATATAATAACTGAAGATTAAGTGCTATATATTGAGAATATAAATCTTGAAACTCAGAATATGGGATATGAAACTCAGATTATGATAGTGTTTTATTGGTTCTGTAAGTTGACTCTTGACTTTGAGTCACTGTATGTGTTTAGCTGTTAAGGTTTAGCTTAACAAATCAATTGATGGACTTCTGCCTAACAGGTTGTTAGATGTAGCAGTGAACCTTGAAATCGGAAAAGCGTATATGGTTTTTGAGTACATGGAATTTGATTTGAAGAAGTTCATGGAAACTCATTTGGAGATTGCCAAGGATCCACAGTTCATAAAGGTGGGTGAGATTTGCCATATTGATAATATGTAAATGATTTCAAAGTAATTATTACTCTTTTACTCTGTAGCTTATAAGCTTTGTTGTTCCAATGAACAAGGTAAAATTTATCAACCGTCTGAATAATTTTACCAAATGATTCCTGCTGAAGTCTAAAGATGTTTCCATCTTCATTCCTACTGACCTCAGTATTGGTAATTATTGTGTACCATGTAATCACATGCAGTTAGTACTTAGGCATATTTATGAAATCCAGGTAAATTTTGCTCTTTTATTATTTATTTACCTGATCACTGAACTAGTTGATTTAGAAGTCAAAAGGCATGCAGTCTTCAGAGTCACACAGCGTGAAGTTCAATATCAATCCACTTACACATCATCTACTTGCTGCATTTGCAATTTAAGGCACTAAAATGTAAACAAGTAGCTTACCAAAAAATATATATGTGTAAAACAAGTACTGATAGACTAGTGTAATGGCAATAAATGTACGTATATGCTGAACTATATGAGATTATTCAATTATCATGTAGTATCTTAATGCCCTATTAAGTTACTAACACGTACCTAATTAATTGTAATGATGATACTAAAGGACATCAACAGTTAATTTCCTGATTTATTTTCTCATGTTCTTTTTCCCTACAGAGGTTTCTGCATCAGATACTCAGTGGTCTTGCCTATTGTCATTCACACAAAATTATCCACCGAGATCTAAAACCAATGAACTTGCTGGTAGACATTCATGGTAGAATCCTGAAGCTTGCAGACTTTGGATTAGCCAAGGCAGTTGACGTTCCTCGTCAAAGCTACACTGGAGGGAGCCTTGTACATTAACATTTCACCATTCTCTTACACTCACCTATTAAAATTTACATGATTTTCCACCAGCCATTGCCGTTTATGTTCTCATTTTGTTGGTTTGTCTTCAGCAAGGAACTCTACCCTACATGGCACCTGAAGTCATGAAACAGTCCGAAAACACATTTGCATCTGATATATGGTCTGTGGGATGCATATTTGCTGAGATGTGTAAACAGGAGCCTCTCTTTGTTGGGTCAACTCCTTGGGAAGTTGTCAAACGAATATTTAGGTGGTGTATTATTTGGACACTCCCACACGGTCACATATTGTTCAAATCTTAATGCCTTGCTATGGTGAATTACTAACTATATCTTGGTTCTGATGAAGCTTATTGGGCAAACCAGATGAACGAATCTGGCCTGGTGGGACTCCACTTATGGAAACAGGTTTCCTTATTGAGGACAATCCTAAGGTAGTAGCTCTGGGTGTGTTTTTATTTTTCCTGCTCTAGAATCTTAGAAATAAATGTAATTTTTTCCTTTTTCTACTGCATGCAGAATTTTGCAGAACTGTTTCCCAATCTTGAAGCAGCTGGGGTAGATCTTCTTTCTGTAAGTTTGTCGTCATTATATTTAAGCTTGGCTGCAAATTATGAGTTAGTATAGCAACTGAGAGGAAGCTTAATACTCTTTCTTTAACAACTTTTAAGATGGATATATACTGTGAATTTGAACTCCTGATACTCATAACATGCCTGCTAATATGCAGAAAATGGTTTGCTACACAGACAGAATTACAGTTTATGATGCACTGAATCACCCGTACTTTGAGGAACGTTAATTGAGAGACTTTGATTACTCTACGGACGTGCATCTTTCTGTTATACTGGCATTACAGCAATCTGTAGTTTAGTGTTGGAGAAGAATTGTGTACTTCCATTGATTGTGTATTTTCTGATTAAGGTGGTCTGAACACCACACCTATAGATACTGCTTGGGAAATACTTTGGTTTGCTACTCTTTGGAAATGATTGATATGTTACATAATCTTCTGACTAGCTACTGCTTTTAAATTGATCTCATTACTTTGTGTGTGGGAGAAAAAAAGGCTTTTGTTGGCCACTACAGGGTTAAGTCTCAATGTGCTTGATTATGGTTAACTGGTTGATACCAGTCTTAATATTTGTTTAGCACTCTGTAGCCAAAGTGCGGCATTCTGAGATTGATAGAAGTCTCGAAACAATGACGTGTCACACTGTGATTGGTTGTCAAACATCAAATACTATCTTGAATGCATATTTCAAGTAAACGACTGCTCTAGTCAAATATTGCTGAAAAATTTATCTACAGAGTATGATTAGTTGGAAGCCGTCAATATTCATGGTATGATTGATGAACATGGATACATATTGGTGATGGATTTTCTTTTCTTTATTTATTATTATTTTTTTTGTGGTGACTAGAGGGGCGTCCCTACCATATGGGTGATATTAGTCCCCACCGAATACGTGGCAGGCTCCGTGTGTTAATTTGGTCCAGGAAAAAAATTTGGGACACATAATGTTGGAGGACTTCGTCTCTTGTATGAAAGTCCTTTGACGGTAGATCCCAACTCTTCTATGAAAGCCTTTTCAACGAGCATATAAGAAGTTAAATATTATGGGTGACAAGTTTACTTGCATATTTCTGAGGTTCAATTAGAATAGTTTCTGTACTCATGAATGACTTAATATACTCCACTGTGTTGAAAAATAAATTTGATTTTAGTATTTAATTAATCATTTTAAGTATTTGTCTTACATAATATATGTGGGCATTTAAAATGTTAGTAGGTATTAAATTATCTTAATGAGAATTAGTATATGAGAGTTAGTGTGATGATGAAGGTTATGTAAAACCAAGGGTCATAGGAGTTAAGTCTAAATGGTTATGTTAGTGGGAATTAAACCTCCTAAATACCATGTTAGTAGGAGTAGTGGGAGTTAAGCCTAAAAGTAATGTTAGTGTGAGTAATTGGGCACTTAAATGTAATTGTTACACCTAAGTTCATGTAACCTATATAGTCATGTACTCTAGTTAAATAATAATAGAAGTGGAATAAAATAATTTTTCAAGTATTCCTCCATATCATTCTCTTCTAACATATTATTAACTGCTGTATGTATTTAGGCCACTATTTCTAACAAAGTTGTATCAGAGCAAATCCAGGTTCCATATCAGATCCAGGTCATTAACAGAGCAGGTTTGTGATACCCCCTAATTTTGGAACACGGATTGATCAAGTCCGCGCACAAAATCAAGGGATATCAAAACAATTTAAGTATTTAACAAGCACAGAATACAAAGATGAATAATAAAGAATAAATAAACCGCTGAAGAAAACTAATAAATAAATATTACTTAATGATTCTCCAACAATTACAATTCGGAAATCCCATAACTCAAGGACCCCTTAAAACATTATCCAATAATCCAATACTATTTAAAAGTACACAAGATGAATAGACGAATGACAGTCTCCCAGCTGCGGATCCTCAACCTCGAGACTGGAACCTCTAATAACCTGAAAAATAAATCGTGGGTTAAATCCTACGAGCAAGTTCACTCTACCAGGCCTCTGAAAACCAATAAGCAGATCATCTCTGATCAAAACCAAACATAATAAAGTTTTAACTTTAATAAAGCACGATATACATGTCTATATATAATTATATATACTATACTAATCACATCCATTAATAGGTTTATTAAATTTCCATACCTATTAAATAATTATTAAAATAATATTCATACCTAGACAAATCTACCATTTCATTTTATAAAAACTCCTTTGACCTTAATCCCATCCTAGTCAGTTGTTTAATCATTTAAACAACAAATTATAATAAAAGAAATACTCTATTTAATCCCAACCCGATAATGATTTTAATTGTTTAAATTACATATCCAAAATCCAAGTTTTGACAAATCATCCACGTCTTCCCCAATATTATTTTATTAATGTAAAATAATACACTAACCAGTAAGTACTAAACTATTCTCATTTAAGAATATCTAACCCTAATCCAATCCATACATACAACAACCATAGATGATATTTTAATCATCTAACACATAACAACGTAATTATGCTTTGGCAAATCAACCATGCCATTGTAAATATTTTTATTTATATATTGGCAATTCAACCATGCCTCCATAAGTATATTTATTTATACATTGGCAATTCAACCATGCCTCCGTGGATGTATATTTATACGTTGGCAATTCAACCATGCCTCCACAGGTATATTTATTCATACATTTAATTAGCAATTCATCCATACTTTCCATATATGTATTCTATTCATACAAATATTTAGGTAATATATTTAATCATTTGACAATTTATCCATGCCCACACTTTAACCATGAATTAACTTTAAAATTAACAATACGCTAAATCATACATAGCCATCACATGCATATTATACGCATATCATTAATTTAACAACCAGCCTATTAAGATATGCCAAATAAGAATGATAATATTAATCATCTTAAATGATTTATATATATATATACCTACACATATGTTATTTAATGTATATATGTGTTTAACACCTTCTTTAATAATCCTTGATTATTTAAAATCAATATACATACATACATACATACATACATATATATATATATATATATATATATATATACACACACTTCCTTCCATAACAAATTATTAATTTATTATATTTACACAAATTAGTGCAACTAAATATGTCAGAAATAGTTTCCTTTAAATACTCCATATTGGTTTAAATAGTTTTCCGACACTTTCTCACTAAAACATAAATATCTCCTAGTAGGATGGGAATCTGATAATGAAATTGGTACCATTGGAAAGAAGACGAAAAATCCTTGAATTTGAGCTCAAGAATGACCCAATTTCGATTTAAAATGACTAAGTTATGACCGTTTTAATTTCTAGTGTCGAATTAGGCCAACATAGTTTCCCACGCGCGCCCACGTGCTTACTATGCACTTGCACGCGCTGGATTCAAGCCTCCTTGTGTGCTGGTATTGGCTAAGCTCTTTCAGCTACCGTGAGCTCACCACACTGAATCCATCACTTCCTTTATGCCGCATCCAATGGTCATAAATGAGTGCGCAAATGAACACGCTCACACTAGATTATTTTCTATTAACTATAATAGATCTAAGGTCCAGATCAGCGAGTGCACCATCTTCTCATGGTCTGCAATACACCAAATAATCCCATAGTTGACCAGACCACTTTTATGGTCCAGATACACATGCACACCAAAGTTTTATGCGCCGCGATGCACCATATCAATTCACATAAGTTTAATTAATCAAATGGCCCTAATTGGCGTATACACCCTATTATCCTACACCGCGCCGCACTGGATCAATTCTTTATTGTGCCGCCGCTCCACATGCGCCAGTTACCTAGTATATATATATATATATATATATATATATATATATATAATTATTTTCCTAACAAATAATAGGAAAATAAATCCTAATAAATTCCTAAAAATATCAGAAAAATTCCAGAAAATTACAGAACAATTCTAGAAAATAAAGAAACCATAATTAACTCTCTTGGGTCACAAATCCACCTATAGATTGATTTTAAAATATACATAACACCTATATATATCAATTAAAATCCAATAATCTAAAAATCAAATATAATAGTTTATACTTTTTAATTATTCCGATCTAACCATAATTTTTAAACAAATAAATTTAATTAAAGCCTTGATACTCAAGGTGAAATCCTTATGAGTTCTAAGAGGAAAGTTAGAGAAAACTCGCCTGAAGGTTTCGAAACGAAACCGACGCTTTAAGCTTTAATTATCTCTTCCAATTCCGACGTCCTCCTTTTCAGATCCGACCTCCTCCTTGTCAGCCCTTCTTCTTCCTCTCTCTCTATCTGTTTTATTTTTCTAACGTGTAAAACCTTTAACCCTAAAGCCTTATGTGTATTTTTATACACCTTAAATTCCAAATCCTATTCCAACTAGTATTATGAATTAAAATAATAACCTTTAAATAATTTATATCTATAAACATATATTATATTACATATATATATATATATATATATAAATATATATTCCTTCCATAATTAACCCATTAGTTAATTAAATCATATATACATATATATATCAATAAATATATATATCTATACATATATCTTTCCATAACAATTATGAATTAATTATATTTATATATAATTATATATATATATATATATATATTTATAATTAATACAAAAGTGATCATTTAAATAATTAAATAACCATCGGCCTTCATTAAGTAATCCAATAAGGTTTCATACAAACCCAAGACCACATCTTTTGGTCCAACTTTCCTTAAACCCAATCCAATTAATTTAAATAAATAAGATAATTAATTAAATATTAAAATTAAAATAACTAATTACATGAAGCACATAAACAAACAAGAATTTACAACTAAGTCACACAATACCAATAAAATCAACACACCAATAATTCAATCAATAATCAACCACACAAACAATCAATCATCATACATAATCACGAAATATAACTTAATTAAAATAAGATAATTAATCTAGCACTCAATAAAATAAAATAAATCATTGAAAAATAAAATAAAATAATTAATCCTAATTAATAAATCCTTTAAAAATATCGGTGTATTACATTCTTCCCCCCTAACAAAAGGAATTCCGTCCACGGAATTCACGAATCCCTGAAATGAAAACTTTCATTATTTAATTTCAAATTTCATTATTCCTTTTATCCGTGTGGAAATTAACCCATCCACACATATTCATTATTAGCAGACACATCACGTAATTAGCTAATTCCATATTTATATAATTGATAAATATAAGTACACACTAGAGACTCTCACTGGACTAAAGCAGTTTCAACCGGATAGTGGGTATCTCATGTAAAACGCACACAAAGGTGGTTACGAGTCCTCCTTCTACCAGAGCCCACACATCCTTAAACCCAGCTACCCATCTCAATCGGCAATATA